ATCGTGTAGGAGGAATCTTCCCAACCATCATGTCCTCATATTTCATTCTGGGTGCAAACGAAACTGTTTAATAAACTTTGACCATTAAGGTACCGTATCTTCCTTTGATCACTAACACAGGCCACTGTGTTTTTCATAGATCAGTTGTTTGGACAGTGTGGGAGTGTTCTGAGGTCTGCATTAGCAGGATATTTACACTTGAAAACATACTGATGATCCAAACCAAGGACTAACATCTTTGATCAACCATAAACTGCCTTCCCTAGTCCTGACCTGACACCTCTCTGGGTGAGAACATGGAAGTTTCAAGAACGAAACTGTTTAAATAACGAGCTGTTTTCAGGGACAAACTCATTTCTTCCCTTCCCTTGTAAAGGTCTCGCTTATATGGCAATCCACTCCTAAATGGTATCAGAAATCACAGAGGGCTTTGCTGGTTCTTTCACAAAATCAGTGCTACAGTTTAGAATCAGGCCCAGCTTCAGGGCTGAGCTGTGCACTAGTACCACATAAGGCTCTTGCCTGTGTAGCTCTTGCCTGATGAAACTAAACAGTCTGTCAGATACGGCCAAGGTGGGACAAGCACCTGGAAGCTGATACCACTTGTCCTCCTAAACTGGTGCTTTGGCAAATACCCCTGTTTTCTGCATATTTCAAAGGAGAAAAAAAAAAAAAAAGAGAGAGAGAGAGAAGAAAAAAATCCCACCCTAGTGTTCAAACAGCCTAGTCTCTTAAAACTCTGGGGGGTCAGAAGCTGAAGGGCAGCAACATCCGGCAGATGTATCATCTGTTCCCTCTCCCAGTGTCAGCCCCTACAGCCCACAGCCTGTTTCCAAACCCAGAGTCATCCCCCTCAGAGCAAACCAGATGTCACCTCAGCCCTATTTGGTGAAGCCTCTTCTCCACACAATCCGAAATGCACACAACTGATGGCTGGCCACAAGCTTGACCCATCCTGAGGATTTCATTAATCTCTTCGCATCAACCCACTGACAACTCCAGCAGCTTGTGTTATGACAAAATGTGGCCGTTAACTGCGGTTTGGTTAGAAAACAAAAGCCTAGTTTCCAGGCACTATTTTTCTTACCTTACAAAAGCATGGAAGGAATGGCGAGATGAAAATATTACTGACACAAGTGAGTCAGTATTAAAAATGTTTTCTTTTTAAGAGAGAATGTACTTAGACCACACTGTCTTCAATGTGAGTTTTACCGCCTGGAGTCCTCACAAGTATTTTTTTCTTATTTCTGATGGCTTTGAATGAGGAGAGGGTCAAATTTCTACCCAGAGGTTTTATGCTATTTCAATCACCATTGATGTCTGATCGTTCATGTTCTCTATGCTTACATGCCTGTCTAGGAGACAGTCTCAAATGGGCCCATGGTCCTTGTTTTCAGCTTTCTCTACAGTGGCAAAAATCAGTTCGATAATTCAGTAACTGGTAGAAATTTTAGCCTCAGGCTGGGTTCTGTTTTTAGCCATCAGGGAACAGCCAGCAGTGCCTTGCAATTCCGTGCAGCAGCACACATCTGGGCTGGAGTCACACGCTCATCCTTTTACTGTCCAGATGAGCTTTTTTTTCCCCTTTGCTCAAGTAATACTCAATTGAGCCACTTCATTACACTTAATTGGAGCCAAGGGATACTTCTAGGCTCTGAGCTTTGGTGAAGATTTGTATTTACTAAAGCTTTCTCTTATCTCCTGCCCTACCAAACTTGTTTCTTTGAGAGAAGCAGGCAGGTTTCCTTTATATATATATATTTTCCCCCAGAGATGCCTCCTGCCTTTCTCTTGTAGACTGCTGGTTTGAATCCATACATGCCAGCTGCCCACTTAAAAATTATTTGCACCCAAAAGTATTTTAGTAGCTACCAATAACCGCCTCAGACAACTGTTGACCTCATAAGAGCCAAGATTAACATGGTGTCTTTGAACTTTCTCTGAAGACTGCAGATGTTGACTGAACAGGCACCTTCTGCAGCTTTTAGAGATGAATTTTCCTGACCAGAAGGAATATTTGTCAGTAGAAAAAGATGAAAAAAGGCGCTACATCAACTCCTCTGTCTCATCTGCTATTTCACCAGCTAGACTTCAAGATCTGTACAGACTCTTCCTTATGCAATATAATGTCATAAAATGTCAGGAAATATCAAGCTGTTATTCAAAACCATTAGTCCAAAGGAAGCATGACACAACTTTTTTAGTAGGGTTTTTTTTAAGTCAAATGCAGCTGTTATTTTCTGGCTTATAAGATGTCTGCTAAAATTCAACGGAAGATTTACAAATATTTAGCAAGTTCCTTCAAAAACCAGTGCACTCTTTTTTTTATAATTTAACCTTCCAGTGTTCTGAACAGCAAAAGAAAACACTGCATTCCAAATTAATCCACTGAGACAAAAGGGGGAGAAAAAAGCATTTTGGACTTTCTTCCCCCCCCAAGTAAAAGCAAGTAAGTGAACAAAACCACTCAAAGAATAGAGTTCCTTAAAGCACACCAGAAGAATCTGAGGCATTTTTCCTCTTCATGCAGAGATATTCGTGAACAGCTAAATACCACTTTTTAGTATTTGTTTTCAAGAATGTTTACAGACTCAAGTCCACCCAAGTCAGCAATGAGGGTGAACATTTGAATCCACAGCAGCAGTAGGCTATGGAGTCAGACCTCAACTGACTATAACACTGAGTAATAAGCAGCTTCTGCTATCTTATTTTAACAGTCTTTTAACATCTGCATGTATTTAACACAGAAGGGGTCATTTATATGCATATATATATATGCATATATGTGTATGTATGCATATATATACAGAGAATACAAACCTATGCATGTACTTATACAGAAGCACACACATTTTCATATGTGCTTTTATATTTTACCAGTAAATGAAAGAGTCCTTTAAGCTGAAAGGAAAAAAGGGTAGAAAAGGGCATGTCCTTTTTACAGCTGCAAAACTCTGTGAGCCATATCTTGCCCACCTCTGTGCAGATGATGTGACAATTCCCACAGACTCATCTGAAGCACAAGTTGCTTTAGCCAAACATCTCCCTCCTTCCCCTCAGTAAAAATAAATAAATAAAGCAGAAAAAGAAACAAAAAGGAAGTCTTGAGGGACTGGATGAGTCAGAGGTTAGTAATGAACTCCAGACACTCATCCCTGGGTCAGTGGTTCACGCCTAGCCCATGTCAGGAGGGACAGTGAATTGCTGGCAGCCTGGATCTGGAGGAAGCCACTTTATGATTCCCAGTCCCAACAGTGGGATCCCCTCAGCATGGCCGCCAGCAACGGCAGAAGGAACATGATGAAAGGGAATTGAAAGACCCAAACTACTTGCCAGCTTTGGACAGAGACCACCCTGGCGATCCCCACCCAAGCTGCTGCCTCTGCTCTGTCCATAGGGAAGTCTCCAGCACCCAGTGATGCCCAGCACATGCAGATGTCAAAGTGCCCAGTGCCAAAGGACACACGTCTCAGCTTCGTAGTGCGATCTGATTTTGGTGTGCTTCTGGTATGGGATGTGAAACAAAGACACAAGGCTCCAGCATCACTGCTGCACACAGGCACTTTGAGAATGGAGTTTGTAAGCTTGTTAGGAACAGGGTATATTAGAGGCTGTATCCTGTACTTTATTCTCTTTTCTGCGATGCCTTATTTGCTTGCTCAGTTCACTCTGAAAAAAATGTTATATAAACATATAAGTTGACAATTCTCTTACTCTGTGCCCTGCTTTGGTGACCGTCACAAAGCAGAATATTAATTGCTTCCATAGACTCATTGCAGAGGTTTTCTTTTAGCTCCAGAGGTGGGATCTCTGCTTGTGGAATCTAAAGCAGACCAACAGTTCCCATTTTTTATGCAATGTGGTTCTAAATGAACAATACAGCTAACATCTATGAAATCTGCATGACCATCCGGAGTTCCATCAGCTCTTGATGTAACAAGCCAGCACGTTACCCCTGGAGGCACTCCAGCAATATCCAACTCAAAGCGCAAAGGGAAGCACATCACTGATCTTTTAAAACTCACCCCTTGTTCCCCATCACCTATTCACCCAAGTATTTCTCTCCAGTTCCCCAGAGGCCACACTCCCCACAGAACAACCACAAGCTATTTAATGTTCCCTTCACAACTGCCAATCATCAAAGGCACATGGTACCCCAAATGGTACCAATGGAAAGGCTGGAGAAAGAAGGAGCAGAAAGGAAAACACCCAGGAAACCTTCAGAGAGGAAACAAATGGAGCTTTTTTTTTAAGCACTGCTGATTTCCTTTTTTTTTTTTTTTAATGCCTGCAGCAGACGAACAATTACAGTCCTAACAAGTAATGAAACACTTTTGTACCACAGCATTAATCTGACATTTAATTGACCGTATATTTCCATCTTTTAGCCTTACATGATTCCTCCATCTGAAACATTACAGGTTTTAAATTAATCACTCCATTTACACTTTTTTGGATTTTTTGTGTCACAGTTTCTACTGTGCCTCTCACTTTTGCCTCTCTCAATGCCACTGAAAGTCACGGAGTGATTCTGTACCTGCATATGCAAAATGTATGCTGAATTTTCTTCTGCTTTATTTACTTTATTTAAGCCCAGTTGAGAGCAGGTGAAGTCTGAACTAATTACCAGTATTTTTAAAACAGGCTATGCTTTTTGTGCTGGTAAGATTAAGTTGAAAGGGAGTATGTGTATTTCGGTACACAAGAGCAATGCCAGTTTAAAAATCTACTGCTTCTCATCAGATTCTTTCTCTATTTAAAGACAACACAAAGGTTGCAGCTAAGTCACACCCTGGGCTACAATAGTGTGAACTTTCTCTGGTTGATGTCCATTTGTACTCTACCATGTCCATTTCCCATAAGGAAAGGACCATGCAATAACATAACCCTGTTAACATGAACAAACCGGATATTTATTTTCAGTCCTCCCAACATTAATGCAAAGCTCAGTCTTCACCAGGACAGCAGCTGGTGGCACAGAGCAAGGCCCTCCTGCATACCTGTTCTGATGTTCCTGAAGCACTTGGTAGATGCTGATAAGGAAGGTTTGGTTTTTAAAGCTTCCCACAACGCAGTCCTTGTAGATCCGAAACTCAGCGGCTGTGACGGCCTCGCCCTCAGGAATCTGAGACAAATTAAATTTGAATTCCTTGTGGTGCCTCTGGTGAGGTGTGAACTCCTTGTCGTACTCAACTGCAGATGGGAAAAGGAAAGGAAAAAAAGGAACCATGACTAAAATTTAACAACAAAAGGTTTCCACGTGCTGCCACCAAGAATCTTGTTTTTTCTCCAAAGATAGCCTTGGCAGGTGCCAGGAAAGCTTACACAATCAAAGCCTTAAAAATACTGTACTAAGAGAAGATGAATGTTCCTCTTCTCTAGCCAATTCCTTTGGGATTTTCTATTTTTTAGAGAAAATACAGTTTTGACAGGTAAAATATGACTGTGAATTTTGTCCCTGTGTAAAACTGAAGCTGTGACCGCTCCCAGCATTTTCCACCTGCAGATCTCCACATTCTTTACAGCATTTCCATAAGTCTCTCAGCCCTCTTCCAACAGAGGAGACAAGTACTTCCATTTTGCTTTAGCACATACAGGCACAGATTAAGCTATAGCACCAGGTCAACCAATACCCTAACTGCCCTAAAATGTGCTGTTTTCCGGCTCCCTGAAAAGCCAGAAATAAGCATTGGACCACCTTGTGGGAGAATACGACCAACATGATATTTATTTTAAGGGTTAAAGTTAACCAGAGCTCCCCTTCCTTTTGAAGAAGCTTATTTGAGAATTAGAGAGCTGAGGAGTGACCCCTTTTGGTTTCTGGTCTTAGACTTCCTCAGGTAAATTCTCAGGTATAGGATTTAAGACGGACACAAAACAGAACTCCTTATTTAGGCCTCATGATTTGTGTTTTCTCTTTTTGAGGTTCCCTTAAAAACTCTGCTTCTAGTCCCACTCTCGTATTACTTGATTACATCTTGGTTAGTCTGACTTTGATTAATTGTTTGTTATTTTTTCTAATTTTCTTAGAAATTGCTTAAAACATTAACATACTATAAAAACATACAAAATTACATCCAAAAAACTGTTCCCACCAGTGCAATTGAAGGAGTATATGTCAGTGATGAATAACTCACCATTATATTATCAACAGGAACATGAGTACATTCAGAGGCAGCAAGGGAAGAAGAGATCCCTTTTCATGTTTGTCTTTGTGGTCACTTTTTGTTGTTCCCCCCCCAACTTAACACATCCAACTGCAAAGGAATCCATGAGCCTACCCTCACAACGTCCCCATGAGGTAAGCAGCAATCCCTGTTTTACAGCTGGGATACTGAGTCATCAGGAGAGTGACTTGTCCAAGGGCAGGTGGCAGAGGCTTGCAGCGGAGCCAGGAATGACAGCCAGCGGGCTTGAGGTTCATCACTTTACCCACAGGTTACCTCCCTGGAGAGCAGACATCTCCCAGCTGCTGGAAAGAGCCTGTGGAGACTTTCCTCTCTACCTTTCCCAAGTGCCTGTCCCTCCTCATCCCTCAGTCTCAGTTTCATCTGTCCTCTCCCTTTATTTTGGCAGCCCTTTCATGTGAGCTGCCTCATCTGGCTGGGTCCACATCCTGACTCCCTGCAAGACAGTTAGTCACATCCTTCTCTTTGAAGCTTGCCTGGAAATCTTTTCACCTCTGCATGACTGCTGCCGAGCATTCTGTGGGACACCACACTTGGAGATGGTGTGCTAAGGGCTGCCACAAGGCAAACAGGCAAATCCTCAAACTGCTGCCAGAGTCAGATGCCTCTGCCAATTTTGTCAGTCTGGCAGTGCATCTGTCTGAGCAGCTTAGATGCCAAACAACTCACAAACGCAGGTGATTGGACCCTGTAGCTTCCAGAAATGAGGTGGTGACACCCAGCATCTCGTCAGAGATTGCACCAAGGCAAATGATGGCACCACTCAGTTCCAGTCCCACCTAGGAATTATCCCTCTGCCTATCAGTTATGAGGTATCTGGGCTTCCCTTTGAAGCACCACCCCCTGCTTTTAATGGGGAGCAACTCTGGCAACACCGGACTGGTTGTCGTCACTTGCATCTACATCCTCCAAGAAGGGGCCTGAGCTGCCCAGTGACTCCCCATGCTGAGGAGTGCACTCCCACGGGGTGCACCTCCCAAAAGAGAGTAGACACCTACTTTGAGAAACTTGCAAGCATCCCATCAACGAGACACTGCGTTTGGCTGCTTGCAGCAGGATGACATGCCCAGCTTGGCCTGTTTACTTGCTGCTAAAAGACGAGAGGATGTAATTAATGGTGAGGGAATGTCTAAATCCACGGGTTTGCAGAGGCACACATATGAAGCAACAGTTCTCAATTTAGAACTTGCTACATCCTCGCTCACGGGTGCAATGACCAGCTGAAACCCACGTCCCCTCCCATGCTGTCACGGGGGTGAGTTGACCTGCAGGCGAGGTGCAGCGAGGCAGCTTTTCCCCAGGCTAGCAGATGAGGATGATAAAGGAGAAGCAGGAAGAGCAAGGGGAAGGACACAACCAGGGTAAGCAACAGAACTCCATCAGGGTGCCAGAAAACTAAAATTACACCAGAGACAGCAAAGGAATAGTCGATGCTTCCTGTCGGCTATTGCCCCATATAAAGATGTGATGTGGCCTCTCCAAGTGCACAAGGGGGAGTTTGGAGCCGTCCCACACAGCACAGGGCTCAAAATGAGCCCAAACATCACTGGTTTTGTGTTCCTTTCTCACTTCAAGTCAACTCCAGTGACCTAACCTCCACTCATATCCACTACAAAATATACAGCTTAAAAGTAACATAACTGAACTCTAGTTCTTTAAATCAGTATTTTCCCATACTGCACGTCTAAAAACTCAAACACAAGCCACAGAGGAAGAAAACTCCACCAAAACATCTACCACAGAGTATGACAAGTAGCAGCAGGTATGATGCTTGACTCCAATTGCCCTTTCCCAGTTTATAACTTGCCTGATATATTTACAATAGTATTTTCCTGTTTTTTAAAACTTTCTTCCTTTATCCCTGCCCTTGTCCGAATACGCCACACAATCACAGAAGCTGACTAAACTGATTACAGGGGAAACATTCTGACTGATTTCGTTATCAGGCTTGGCAGAATAAACAACCTGAAATGCACAAACAAGGAAACCTTTTTTTAATCCTTCAGATTAAGCAATTCAGCTTTTTCTGTAATAAGAAAGGCACATTCAGAAAAAAATGCTGTAAAACTGCTGGTGTTATCCTCCACTGTGATCTGTTCAGAAGCAGCCCAACAACATCATAGGATGGAAAAAAGACTACATTAAGCATGTATGAAGCAAGTATAAAAGTTTAACGAGTTGGAAAGTTTGTCTGGCTATGTATCTTCCCATGATACAATGGAGGGTGGGTTTTTTTTTTTCTTTGTGGGAGTGGTGAGATATTTAAGTTCTATATACTCATTGTCACCCCATCAAGTTAATAATCAACTGTTTTTCATTCAGCAAGACAGCTTAAAAATATAAAATGCCAATAGTTCTTCTCTGGGAGTTCTTTTTCTCCCTGGAAACTGTTCATTTTTAACAAAGAAGTCAAGTTTTAGAACAGTAAAATTTGGAAAGGCAAGATTCAGGCTGCTGGTTCCCAGGATTACCTACTCTGTATTGCTATCGTGTTACTATGCATCATATGAACTCGTATTCAAAATACAGACAGAATACACCAAAATGCAAGGCAACAGCAAAAAGCAGAAATCGTTTCTCAAGCTGCTTTCCAATTACTATTTTTTCCACATGAATTCTTTCAGGTCAATCTGACCTGTGACATGTGAAATCCAAAGCTAATTTCCGTCTGAAGGAGGACACATGCATGTTCCAACTGCGCAAAGCTCTTTCAGGGAGAATCAGGCAGCTCACAGCTGGGTCAGGCTGGAAGGCAGCAGCCTCTCCCCACAGGGCTGGCCAGAACGTCAGGACCAAGCCAGGTAAAACTAGGGTTTGTA